GGACCAACTGCAGTTGCAGGAGCAACGGCAGCAGCCACCACAGGAACCGCAGGAACCACTGCGACTTGAGACGGAGCAGCCGCCAGTGCAACCGCCAGAAGCTACACCTGAGCGAGAGCAAGTTCAGATGCCAAAACCACAGACCCAAACAGAGGAAGGACAAGATGAGCAAGAGATAGCACAAGTTGAACAGCATCAAGCGAGGCCACAGCCATCCGGAAGCCCAGATGGCGGGAGTTTGGACGGGATGCCCTCGGGTCCATGGGCCAACTCTCTTCCATCGGACACCGTCTTGGGTCCCAGGAGCTTTCCAGTGAGCCGAGCTTCACCCGAGGATGATGCCGATGCTTTGCCCAGTGGTCCCAGTGGCTTGTCCCGCGCTACAGCAGCAAACATTGCCTCAGAGGTCATGTTTCCAACACACGTGGGTCGTTTGGCCATTTTTGACGACTACCTCTTTTGTGGCGATGTGGGCTCGGGCTCCTTTGGCAAGGTGATGTTGGTGAGACACAAGAGTACCAAGCAGCTGAGGGCCTGTAAGGTTGTTGCGGTGCAGACAGCGCTCCAGCGGGAGTTGATGGACAATGAGATTCGCTTGTTGAAATCACTGAACCATCCGCACATCATGAAGATGCATGAAGTCTACTTCGAACAGGCCTCCGAACAGGGGCAAGTGGCCAGTGGAAACATTTACTTGGTCACAGAGTTGTGCGAGGGAGGTGACTTGTTTTCAAGAATCCTGCACCATTACGAGAGGCTCAAGCAACCCATGACCGAAAGTCATGTGGCTTTCATGATGCAACAGATTTTGTCGGCCACCAAGTATTGCCACGATCAGGGCATCATCCATCGAGACATTAAGCCCGAGAACATCCTATTTGTGGACCGCAGTGCCAGCTCCCCACTGAAAATCATTGACTTTGGCCTTGCCAACTTCCATGAGAAGATTCGAGAGCAGGCGAAGGAGGTGAAGGTGGCCCGGAGTGGCGCCATGGGCCGCATTGCTCGAATGCTTCCCTCTGTGAATGGACGGCATTTGATCCCCTGGCATGAAAGGAAGCGAGTGATGCAGAAAGCCGGAACTCCACACTACATGGCTCCAGAGATGATTGAGGGCTCCTATGACCAAAAGGCCGATTTGTTCAGCATTGGCATCATTCTTTGTCAACTCTTCACCGGGTGGCATCCATTTTACCAGCCGGGGGATGATGAGACGGCGGTGAGAGCCAAGATCTCCAGTTCAGAGGCCGTCCAGTTCCCCATGGACATTTGGTCGCAGGTGTCTCCTTCCGCTCTGGATTTGTGTCGCAAGCTGTTGGACAAGTCGCCGAAGTTGCGCTTGAGTGCCACCTCGGCGCTGGCCCACGAGTGGTTCCAAGACCCCTCAAAGCCATCGCCCTTTGGGAATGTGGATGGCTTGAGCGTCTCGATATTTGATGGCTTGAAGCAGTACCAGGCCTCCGAAAGCACCACGCAAATCGTAAGAAACACGCATCCGAATGATAAAACCAACCTTATTTCTAGTAACAAGGGCATCGCTACTAGTAACAAAGCTACTAGGAGCTCCTGGCATTACGACTAGGAACAGGAAGCTACCACGTGTGCACTTGATTCCGAAAGCGCCAGGCCTACAACAAGCTCAAGCGAGCCGTGCTGCAGTTGCTGACGCGTGAGCTCAGTGAGTTTCAAATCCAAGAGCTACGGGCGAAGTTCATGGCACTGGACAAAGAAGGCGATGGATTGCTATCTCCAGAGGAGTTAGTTGAAGGAATGTGCCATGTGGGCTATGAAATGAGCCAGAGAGAGCTGGAAGCTCGTCATTGCAAATTGCCCACATTTTAAAGCGTGTGTTTCTCAACAGGTTGTCATATTTTGTCATTGTGTTTACTTCGCCTGGCTTTTGCAACACAGAGGGGGGATCCGCTTCTTTCCTAGAACCCATGACCTGTCCATTCAAGGAGCAGATCATGGCAGCATTAGATGGCAGTGGCAATCAGCGCATTGGCTACAAGGAGTTCATCTCAGCCTTGATTGAGCGGCGGGTGAAGTTTGATCGGCAACAACTGTTCGAGTGCTTCAAGAAGTTTGACAAACAGGGCAAAGGTCTGATCACCTACCAGGATGTCAAAAGCGTGATGTGCAATGCCATTACAGAGTCAGAGTGGCAGGAGATTGCCGTCGTTGGAGGAAAGCAAGATTTGAGCGACATGCCCGAGCTCACTTTCGATGAATTTGTTTCACTCATGGAGCAAACTGATGCCGGGCCCTCTTGAACCCTGCATGTGAAAAGCTTTGTGACCGACTTTGGATGCACACTGCTTCACTTCACGAGCATGTGCTCACTAGTTGTATACTATCCCAAGTTGTTGCAATCTAGATTTTGGTTGCCATCTTTGATTATTTCACCGGCTGTGCAGACAAGTTGATGGCATTCAATGGTGAGTTCTTCAATTGAGGTGACGTGAAGATGGTGGGCTGGCTAGAGGCTCAGAGTGTGGAGGCGCGTGCCGAGTCCGTCAGGACTGGGGTGAAGCTGAGGAGTCACCTGCATCGCATGTGTTGCAGTCCGTTTGTGCCCTTTCCGTTTCATATGTTTTCTCGCTCAGCACGACCATTAACTGCGACCAATACACTTATGATAGTACTTATGAATACTTATGATATTACCTGAGCCTCAGAGGCTGTTTTCAAAAATGTTCCCCAACAAAAAACATGAAAAGATGATGTTGAACGAGCATATGTTTTTGAGGATGTTGGATGACATGAAACAAGAACACATGATTGACAATGTTCTTGAGGACCTTGAGGGCTACCTGGGAGAAAATAGCATGCCTTTCATCCTTTTTACTGTCCTTTTACTATGTTCAAGAGGTTCGCCCGAAAGAAAAGAGCATGGACTCGGACTAGGTTCCTGAAGCAAAAGTAATTATGAAAACATCACACTCCATTTTGCATTCTCGGAAAGCTCACTGGCCTATCCGTGTATTTTGGCCCTTGTGTACTTACTTGTATCTTAGAGGCAAGTGAAATGCAACAGAACAGCTCCCCCAAAAAGCAAACAACAACACAACATGGACATGTCACTCGTTCTGCGCTCTTTTTTTGGCCGGCGGTTTGGCTCTTCTGGGGTACTGGTCGCACGGAGGCCGTAGTCGCTCTTATTGTGAGACGTCTCGAATAAAAGAGCGACTATGGGCTCCCCGGACACCTGCACCGAACTTCTGAAAGCAAAAAAGAGCAACTACACCGGTATGGTGTTCCAGGGATGGTTTTCCAGGGAACACTTTTCCGGATTCTGGGGCACAGCTACAGTGTAGTCCTGAAATCAGGTTACAACCCACACACGGCCAAAGTATGACCTTAGGATCCAGAGGACCCTAGAGCTGTACACTGTACACACTATTATTCTGTGCAAGCAACTGTTGATTTAAACTTGATAGATTAGAAATTGAATCATTCAAAAAATGTGGCCACATGTGAGACACAACCTAGGACTAGGACAGGAATTTAATAGGGCCAGGGGGAATCAACAAATAGATTAAACTAACATCTCTGATAACATCACCACACTTCGGTTCAATGAACCTGTTTTTTTTAATGTTTTCTGTTTCTACTTTTGCTGAGATTCTGCTGCTGTGTTTCCACCGGCTGCCGGACACACATGTGAGCACACAAAAAGAGTCCACAAAGACCCCACTGGCCAGAGAGCCAGTCTGTAACTTCTGGTGACGGAAAACGGGAAATGGCACTCATTCAGGGGCTTTGCTTGTAGTTGCTTTTTCGTTTGTAGTTGCTCTTTTGTAATTACTCGACTGCTGGTGCTCTTTTGGTATTTGTCCCTGTGGCTGCAACGAATATCGTAAACATACACTATCTTCATCTATTCGTGAATGCACATGTCACCGCGTTGGCTTTGGGGACCCACACACAGTTGTTCGCTGTTCCCGGCGATGGCCGCAAGTCGGTCATCGCATTTTGGGCCTTTCCAGGACCAGCTACGTCAAGTCCCACCTGCAGGACTGGGTGCATCTTGATGTGGTCAAGCGTGCCGAGCACCCCGTGGTGTTGCCACAAGCAAGTAGGCCAAGTAGGCTCGTCCCACTGTTTAGATCTTGAATGATCATTCAGATGTTTTCTTTGTGGGGTTGTGTCATGCCCTCCAATGATTGGGACCAAATCAGCAACAGCCCAATAGGATCCTGTTCCACTACACTGACTCAAGCGTCCCAAAGGAGCTCTTTGCCCAGCTACCGGAGAGCGAACGCGCTGAAATGTTGAAGAAGCTCTCCGGATGAGCCAATGAGTCAGTCTAGTCAACCTGCATTAACAACGCTAGTAGGTGCCTAGATAATCTTGTTGAAGGTTGATCACAGGAGTTTCTTATCCCGACAACGAGAGGCAATAAACAAATGACGAAAAGTGTTTGATTGCTTTTGGAACTAGTAATCAGCCTTCTTTTATTTTGCCAAACTGGAAAGTTTGGGACGTCTTTGGGCAGAACCATGTCCAGACGTACGTGAATTTGGTCTCTACTGACCTCGGCTGGCAACATGCTGTGATCAAATTGGATGAGTCAGCCCCGTCAGCTTTGCATGGCCTCGATGTATAGCAATTGGCAATTAACTCAATTTTTCTAGCTGCGACAAGTGCAGCGCCTAGCTGCGCCTAGCAGTGGCTAGCCAGCAACTGGAAGCCTGGCCAGCGGACGATTTATACAGATCGATATTTTCCCGATGTTTGCGGCAGGCTTTACCTAGAGACCCCTTTGCGATTGACCCTTAAGATGAGGACAAACTGAAACTACTCGCGTGCAAGTGCTGGAAGCTGTGAAGGTTGGTTTGTGCCTGTGTTACTATGTGTTGGGGATGCCCCGCCACCTGCCCAGTGATAATCCATCAAATTCCCTGTTGATCGGCTACTTCCTGCTTTTTGAAGCATCACACGCACCTACAAACACAGGAGTTGTCATGACGAGTTGTTTGCAATTTCGGACCCCTAAGGGCCTTGAGCTGCGAGAATACTATTCGGCTGCCTGTGGCTTCGCCCCCAGAAGCCTAAACGAAGCACCACAGCTACGGCATGGGAACTGACAGGGATACTGCATGTACTATGTGAACACGTTCCTGGAACTGGTGATGCGATTTTGACAGCGATGAGATGGACATACTGTAGATTTGTGGATTTGGCCATAGGTCATTGTCAAGCAATGGCACCCGCCTGGAAAGAAGCTGCGGCCAGCTATTCCGGGCCTGTGACTTGGAGATGCAGGTGGTTGGTGATGATTCCTACCTTGGTCAGGACGTTAAAACCCATCGTGAGACCTCAGAAGGAGCATCTTGGGACTTAGAATGTTAGCCAAAGCAACCCTCGATCCACCCACGGGGAGATCGGGCACAACAGTGTGTTGCCCTCAGACTAAAGCAGCCACTCAACGAGACTCGACGCTTACAACATATGAACACCTGAAATCACAATGACAACTTTCAGATCACTTGCCTCAACCAAATAAGTATTATATACTAAATGTAATCTTTGGCGGTGGGTCTTTGCCCTGTTTTTGAATCATTGAAGCTTGAGTCGTAAATGATCGTAAATGTACAGATGTTTGCAGAATTGGTTTCCCATGGTTTCCCCACTTCTGACCTTCGGTTCATCTGAAGGTCAGAGAGTTTGCCGCCGGTGTCTACGGTGCATGATTCACCGTCTCCGGCGGTCTCAGGTGGCCTTCCGGCAGGTGGAATGCAACGATAAAGACTGGAAGCCAGTGCCGGTGCAGCAAGAGAGCCATGCCTTGGAAAATGATGGAACATGTAGAGAAAGGATTGGAACATGCGCTTTTGACCTGAAGATGGATGCGTGAGGTGGAGGAGAACATTGACTTATGCAAAGATATCGAGGCTTTTCCAAGTATTAAGTGCCTGGGCAGCAACTGGACCAATAGTCCTGAACTTGACACTTGGTGGGCTTTCAGCAAACTACGGTATTCCGAATTGCCTCAAAGTACCTGCTCAAGGAAGTCATTTTTGCAATGAAGTCAGGATGGTTGAAGTCAGTCACGAGCTTTGTGTCGGCCTTTTCGGATTGAAGTGCTTTTTGACCTCCAATTGCCACGCAAGTCAATGAGAGTCACTCCCTTACGTGCAAGGCTCTTCAAGGATGGCGAAGAAGTGACAAGCTATGCGCCTCATAAGAAGTTAGGGGGTCACAGATGAATGTTCCAACTGCGCACCGTCGCTTGAAGGAAGGAGATCGCACTGCGGAAGGATTCATGAACTTCGCCAAGGCCAACGAGATCCTAGGCTTAAATCATCGGCGGCTACCGCATATCGCACACCTGTTTTAATCATGAACCATGGTCATGTTTGGATGGAACTTGCAATGTTTTTCGTATTTGCTTGGGGTCTCACATTAGTAAGAACAGCAAAGGCTTTGCATTGTAAACCCAAAACTTCAGCCATCATGACTCCCCATCACTGCTAGGAAATTGGCTGAACAATCCATGCCAGTTGTCATGGCCGTCCTACCCAGATCTGAGCGCATCTTGCGCAGATGCGCTGAATTCTTGTAGTGCACTTGCCCCCGGTCGGTCCCGCGAGAATGTGGTGCCTTCACACAATCTTCTGACTGCCTTCTGCTTGAGACTGGTTTGAAGGGTTGACTTAGCGCAGGCATGAGTCTCAGATTCAGATACACCTGGTGCAACCAATGGCACCGTAAAACTGGGCAGACATGCAGCAACATCGCCCCCACCATTGCGTGAATTCATGTGAGTTCAAGTCATGCATTGGCAACCCACGGTGCTTGGTCCAGACAATGGGCTGGAACCCATTGATTGGCGGGGTACTATGCCTGCAGCAAGAAAAAGGCCTCGATGTATTTTCAGCTCCATTTCCGGGCGAAGATTCACAGGGCTGAAACTCAAACTGTGAGTCGTGCGCATGCTGGACGAGAAACGTCACCCTGTCATGACATCAGGTACAGCACGACCAAGGAGGTTGCTGCATTGGTCCTCCGCTTCAGCAACCGGGGTCTTTGGAAGGCTACCCTCTTGCTTCTGTTTTCGGCATGAGAAGGCACTGTGCAGCCTCTCCACGAGATTTACCAGCATGCTGCTACCTGTGGTTGTTCGATGTTATTCGTTTGTTTACTCGAAGCCATTGGGTGAGATGAGTCAGCACAGCGTTTCTTTCGATGGCTTGAGCTTTCCGGCCTTTCAAAAATGTTGTTTGCACAGGCAGCTGCAAAGTGCCTTTTGCTGAAGATTGGCCACTTGGAGTGCACTTTGGGCCGGCAAAGAAGAATAAGAGTGTTTTCAGGTGTGGGATTCAGATCCAAAGCTTCTGTCCTGAATCAAGGTGTGGGTGGGTATGCTGGCTGCCAAGGACCAGCAGAAGAGGCGGGCAGGTTGGTTGGATTTTGTTTCCTCGCTGTAGGCATCTGTAATTCCAGTCTTCCTGAAAATGTTACCGCCAACGTCCTGATGAACCTCAACAGAAGCCAACAAGACTCCGTCCAACAGCTTGCAACACAAAACAAGATTTGCAATATTGATTAGAACTTATATTATGATATTTGATAGATGTTGTTTTTGAAGATCCTTTTGGACACTTTGACCCTGTTTTGTCGTGTGGATCGTTGTGACACGTGCCCACAATGAAGCACAGAATGCCCCTATAATCTCCTATAATCCCTTATATACAGATACATGTTAAACTAAAAGGATGTTCCCCACACTGCAAGGAAAGTGTTTGGCAATTATCAAATAGTTGCCTTCCAACCTTTTGTTCAAACAATGCCTCAACATTCTGCTTTCGGGCAGGGCACGTAAAAAGGTGCTTTGTTTGGAGAAGGCACCCGGCACAACAAACACATTTGACCTCCCGAAGCTTGGCCTTCAGATTTGTACAGCAATGCTGACATTGGCCAGAGCGGTAGGCACCCCAAACACTGCCAAAAGGCTCGCCACCTTTGCGATTGAGTGCACTTCATACTGAAGGACCTTGGAAGGATCCCACAGTGTAGAGTTATGATTATGTTTTTTTTAAATCTTATATTCTGGGCTCAGATGCAATCAATCTGACGCCGCAAGAAAACTCCATGTGAGTAAAGCAGGATCTCTTGAGTGTTTAGCTGGGAGAGGGAACTCCCTTTAAATCCATCCTACATCCTGCAGTAGCACCGTGAAAGGCCAAGGGACTTGTGCAACACTTGAAGGCCAGCTTCTTGCTAGTATGAACAAGTGCAGCGCTACTAGTAACAAGGGCATTACTAGTAGCATGAAGCTACTACTAGCGATGCCCTTGTTACTAGCAGCGATGCCCTTGTTACTAGTAGCTCTATCAGCGACCCGACACGAAAAGGTTCGGCCCAAGCTGTGTCTCACCGTCCAGCGACCGGCCACGACCGGCATCGGGTCGGTGCATCGACCGGTGGGTTGGCGACCACGCGAGGCTGGGAAGCTCGCCAAGGAGCCACTGAGATGCAGATGGTCGCGGCTCTTTGTTTTTGCGCTCACGAACGGTCGCGGGTATATGGCGGTATGGCACGGTGCACGGCATCTTGGAGAGAAGTCGTGGAGTCTCCTGTGTGACCGTATGGCTTGGTGTACCCTTTAACTTATAGACTTACAGTACTGTAATTCGCAAATGAGATCTAGGCTTCAGTGCTATAGGTCTCCAATTGGCTTTCCATTTGAGGCTTCAAGCTGGTGACATCCTGAACATCCAGATGGTGGGGCAGCCGAGGTCGATGGGCATTCAGCAGGTCAGCCTCAAGACACTAGACTCTAGACATGATGCAGCAGCATAGCACAAGTAAGCTTGATTTGGGCAGCTGTACTCATCGTAGTGCAACCCAGCCTCGTTTGATTGAACCCTATGGAAGCCCATTATCACCTGTTTTCACCGCGGAGTTCAATTTTTGTTCTCACTTCACCTGACTTGCTGGATCTTTTGAAGCTGCAGCACCAGCCCAATGTTGGTTGGACAAGAGGCCCAGCTCACAAAAGGTCAAGAATAAAGAGCTGCTGGTAAGGGTTATGAGTGCACCAGCTGTTGAAGCCGCAGGCCTGGCTCAAGTTTCAGGGTCGAGAGGGACAAAATCATCCAGTGGCTCCAGCAAGATGGTTCCAAAGCGATTTCCAAGTTCCGCCTTGGTCTTTATTTGGGCAGTGCAATTGGCCAGAGGTGATGGCCCGGCTGTGACCAGCACAAGTTCAGGTCCCATATCTTCCACATCTTCAACAACACCCGTTTGCAACCCATTCAGGGGGGTTCGGTATCTCATGCTGGGAAACGGAGGCGCCATTAGATCTGGCGTTTGTGAGGCGAGTTGGGACTTGCATGAAGTGGAGGTCTTTGATACAAACGGTGTGAAGATCTCTGCTGTTGCTAGTTCTCCCACAGGCTCGCTCAGCAGCTACCCAGCATCCAATGCCGTAGATGGTGACACCGAATCGTTTTGGGCAGGTGACTTTGATGTTGGCCTCAGCTGCAGTTGCTGGAACAGTGCGAAACTTGATGGCCAGCAGTTGCTGCTGGACCTGCAGTCCGAAGTCAGAGTTGGAGAAATCCGTTTGCATCAGGGCGACAACACATGGTCTTTGACGGACATCCGGATCCATTGCGGTGATGGGGCTGGGGACTTCAGTGATCCACCCATGGAGCTGGGCATATCGATGGCACTCACCCAGATCAGCTGCGCATCGAGCGGCTGTGAAGTCACATATCAGTCAATCAGCCCGTATTGGAGCTGCAGAGCGGTCAGCTGGTCACACACTAGGAATGCTTGTTGGTGCTTGCTTGCCGCCTTTTGTGTACTTTTCCTGGATTGAGGCGCAAGGTGTTTTGGTTATTTGTTCACTCTTCTTAGTACTCTTACTCTTCTAAATACTCTGTTTATCGCGTGCTGTTGACATTGGTGACCACAGGGGTGTGTTCAGATGGTTCACCTACTTGATCCATGATTCTTTGCATCAAAGATGCTAGGATCGATCAGCAATAGACGGTGGAAAATTCGGGGCCAGACCTCATTTATACAACGGAAATCCAGTGACATTCATCTTGCCTGGGGCGCGCAGTGGGGCTCAGAAAAGTAGAAAAGATATAAAAAATACATTTACTGTATATAAAGCATATACTGAACAAAACCCGACCTAAAGGACGTGAAGGACGCCCTGGGATTCGGACGACAGGCAGAGTGACACAAATGTCCTTCAGATCACGACGTCGGATTGTTTGTTCCCTTGAAAAAAGGGGTCACTCACTTTCGAGGTGAATGAGAAGTGCACTTGGCCAGAGGACATTGAAGCTATTTGGAAGGCGCCACGTGTTAGATGCCTTGCAGGGCTGTGTGGGTCGCCTTCTCGTTTCGAATCACTCCTCAGCGCTTTCGTTGCCGAGGGCATTGCCATACCTGCCGGTGGCAAGGAGTCATCTTCTCAGAAGCCTAGCTGGGGCATTCCACGACTTGAGGCACCAATGTCAGGCACCTGTTACTACTAGCGTGGCACCTGTTACTACTAGCGTGGCACTTGTTCCTAGTAGCTTCTTGTTGCAGCATTAAAGGGAATGTGAGCAAACATGTGGTGCTGACCACAGGTTGAGGCGACCAAAGGTGTGTGGATGTGTGTGTGTGGTATCCACGTGAGCTTTTCAAACGTTTCCCAAATGGCAGTTCGAACATTTGTTGGATTGCGGGTGCATGGATGGTTGGTGAAACAACTATGGACCACCTTTTGCATGTGGTGGGCCATCCCTCCGAGGTCTCCCAACTTCCTCCCCACCGCCTCGGTTCTGGACTTCCTTGAAGCTTTGGTCTACGTACCACAAACTGAGGCGGGAGAACTGGACAACCTGCATAGATTGGGTAAACCGCGACGTTCATGTACGCTCATCACAGATGCAATGGTTGCAATGATGGAAGAACAATGAAGAACATGGTTATCTTCAGTCAGGCGCAATTCAATGTCGGTATGAGAAATGGGTGTGCACGGTGGGTAAGAATGATGAGGCCATGGGAGGCCTCACCCAATCAGCGGGGGTTGTCCATTTTCCCTTTTCGCAGGGGTCTTTGGAGTAGTTTCCCCTTTGAGATTTCTCACTGCTTTGCAACATTCCAGAGATTCCACTAGCCAGGAGATCATACAAGAGGCGGGGAGGGGGTCTTGAGGAGTGCCACAAGGGTTTCAGAGTTGAAAGCATTCTACTGCAATTCTTTTTTAAGGACATGATGTGCAATTGTATTCCTATCCCAAGAATGTCAACGGGATTCGATTTGAGTTCTAAGCTTGGGTGGTCACATCAGGTTGATAGACCCACTATATATACTGACTAGTACAGTATATATACTGACTGCCTGACTGCGGCCACTGATGAGCTGCATATACACCTGACACAAGGACCGCCGTACTGTGGAACTGGCGCCGTTCGTCGCCAAGGCAAAGGTGCAAAAGCTTTCGCCCTTGGCGCCCTTCGCGGATTCCATGGAGGAGGGATGCGGAGTTTGGCGAGCGGACGACGGAACAGGTGTCCACCGGAACCAACCGCAATTGATAAGTTTCCATGAGGTACCTTGAAAACGACTTGGCCTGAAGAGAGCTATCTGGTTGCACTTTATGGGTTATTCTCAAGAAATGTTCGCTATTATTTCACTGTTTTTGACATGAGTTTGCGCAAGACATGCAGACAAGATCAGACAAGCATTTAATTTGCCACATTAATTTTCCCACAGGCGTGGCTTCTGGTTTGCGATCTCTTGCGACATGTTGGCCGTACCGTCAAAATGGGAAGTATATGCGCACCCAGTTTGCTCGAGGACTTGGCCTGGCATAAGGGTGGAGGACTCAGCAGTGTGGGCTGTGTGGAAGCCTGATCCAACATACGGATACATAGTACATAACTCGTTTGGTGCGACCGGGGAATTGAAATGGATTTACACTATATGGCTTCAGGATGGTTGAGGAACGCTTCCTGGACTTTCATCTCCAGCAACGGTGTGGACGCTGATCGTGCATGTATATATCCTCCACTTAGTGGCTTCTAGTTACTAGCGCTTATGATGGTGTAGCTTTTAGCTTGTCCCATCTCACGAAGGTCGAGTTTGTTATTTCATGTTATTTCACTTGTTCACATTTCCTGCCTACTGGTACTAGGCAGTTGGCCCACCGCCCGCAACATGCCGCAATGTGCATGTTTCTGACACCTGTGTGGAGACCGTTTCAGAACATTGCCGTCGATGTATGGATGTTGTCATCGATTAGTCGCGTGAAATTGGGTGGTGGGTGGGGGGGGGGTGCTGGAAGTATGACACGGATATTGTTTTGCCGGGTTAAATGCATTGTCCCTGCAGCAGAAAGCAAATCTTCATATTATATCTTCATAAACAAAGATTATGAGGATCCGACCGAATGTCATTACCCCCCACTCAAACCACTGACACAGAACATAATGACTGGGTCACAAAAAACAATGTTTCATCAGTGGAAGAAAAAAAATTACACACACACACAGTGGGCCTGTAACGCCATTGACACCAAACATATAATGTTAGCATAACAGGTCTGTGGTTGCATAACAGTTCTGTTTTTTTTGTTCCCTCGGATTGGGTTGCATTTAGTTTCTTGGCAGGTGATGTTCTTTTTTCAGGGTAGGGTTCCATGTTTTATTTGCTAATTCCTTGTTTTTATTGGTAGGGGTCAGTCCTGTTTGTCGAGGTAGGGGTTGTTATTTTTGTATATACTCTAGTTTGAGAGTGCTTGGCGATGAAACCTTGAATATCTGACATCGACATGCCATTTACTTTGAGTCTAGGTTCGCATGTTTTTTTGTGAGTCTAGGTTCGTACTGGAAAAAGTACATGGCACCTGCAACACCAAAATGTTGCTCAATCAAGTCCACTCAGTCAAGCTCCAGTTGATTGGCAACATCATGATACATTCCTTTGGCAAGGAAAATGTGTTGTTCTACTTGCTACAGAATCACAATGTGCCTCTACTGTAGCATCTTCCTGCTTCTACAGTTCATCCTGGAGTCACAGTAGTGCACGCCTGCCCACTCTGACTCTGACTGTCAGCGCCATCTACCTACTGCGCATTGAGTCTCTCCTCTCTGACTTTTCCTGCCTGTATTTTCGAATCCCCTCCTGGCTTCCTTTTCCTCCTCCTTTTCTCCTTTGCCCTCCTTCCGGCTGTCAATGTACGCCATCTACTGCCCATTGAGTTCCTCGTTTGGTTCTCTTTCTTTTTCTCTCAATCTGATCTGTGTTCCCTTCCCTTCCCTCAACGGAAAAAAATTGTGAAGAAGGGAGCAAGATGGAAAACGTACATGGCGCAGAGTTTTTGGGGAACCGGATATTTTAAGGACATGGCTCTGAGATCCTTGCGCGTTTAGTGCCGGCTCCATCTACTATGGCCTGCGCTCATTTGGAACCCACTTTCCAAAAACGCCATCGCCGTCTATAGCCATTTTTCAACGCCATGCACCTTGAAACTACTGTAGTTAAGATCGCTAGTGTTGCTTTCAGAATTTATTGGTAGGATTACTTGTGTGTTTGTCTTCTTGGTGAATTTGGAAGGCTTTTGAAAGCTGAGGACTAGTGACTAGTCCGATTCCTTCGCTCTTTTTTGGGTTCTTGCCTTCGAAATCCAGTATTTCACGCAGCTCTCTTCAAGTATAAGTATAGGACTGACAAAGCAATGATCTCATGTTCTATTTTCTATTAATTTCTTATTTTTTCTTCTTGGCGCGTGCCCCTCCTCGTTGTACATCCATTCATTTCGCACGCATGGCCCACCAATTCACAACCTGTTTCAGCAGTTGGACTTGTTGGACCACTGATCACGAAAGCTAGCCTTAGCTAGCTGGAGTTGCTCTTGCTTTAGCAAGTTAAGTGACGGGGTGGACGCACCTCAGAAACCTCAAATAATTGATTAAATCAATCTTATGGACCCCCCCCCCCCGCGGTTCGACTCCCCCCTGCGCGCGGTGAGCGGGACCACCAAGCAGCTGCAGCACACCAAGCATCTGCAGCGCCCAGCGCAGCAGCGGCAGCAGCAGCACCAGCAGCAGCAGC